CAGTCCTCTTTTGCATTTTCAACAAGAAGCCCCCTCACCGCCTCACAGGTGCAGCAGCAGCTGTCATGTGCTTTATCGTACTTGCCAGACACAAACACACAGAAGGAAAGTCTCTCATCATAAATGCATGTGGCCAGGGATTCTGGAGGAAAGTATGCGAAACAATAAACCATGGTCATGCTCAGATCCCAAGAGTTTCATTCTACAGCACAGATGGCTGAAAGCACAAGCCTGGCTTCCCGCACCATGCCAGAACATGGAGTGTTTGCCTGGTGGCCAACCCACACAGACGAGAGCCCAATGCTAATTGCCAAAGCCACAGCATAACAATGGCCAGAGCAACCTCACAGTTTTGAGGTTTAATTCAATTCAAAGGTGTGAATGTTGTCACCCAGGCCGCTCCAGAATACCTGCACCATCTCCAGTGCCTGCCTATCAGACTTGACACAACTCTAAGCAAAAGAGCACAGTCTGACTGCAGTGCCCATCAATGCCGTCCCCAAACTACAACCCGTGTCACACCTCCATCCCCTCCATGGCTACTTCAGATTGGCAGGGAGCCAACCAACCTGCCTGAAACAGCCTCACTGCTAGGGGCCCAAATGCAATGAAGTGCATTGAGTCAAGCAACTCCATCCATCAACATGAATTGTGGAGGCCAAAGCGAGCAGACAACGCCCCGTCCAGTTGAAGAATCTGGCAGCAGGGGTGCAGAACAACAATGGCGACGTCCCCTCAACTCAAATCCCAAACCTAGGACATTCCAGACACCCTGGCACTATCCCTCGTGCACCACCCTGCCCACCTCAGGCCCTCCCCTCCCCATTCTCCACCACCCCTGACCGCTCCAGGGCAGCCTGCAGCTCGCTGAGGAAGTTGGACACTGATGGCTGCAGGGGCAGGCTGGACTGGACAGACTGGCCCCATACCTTCCCCGGCCCCGCAGCTGCCTTGTACACCTGCGGCCGCCCCCCCTCGCCCACCTCCTCCCCCTGCATCTCCCCCTGCACCGCCTGCCAGCGGGCCTGGAACATCTGCAGGGCCTCCGCGGCGTTGAAACCCCTGCCATCCTGCCCGACCCCCGTCCCAGCCTGGCTGGTGGACGGGCCATCAAACCCCTCGATCGGCGGGGGCCCGCCCGGGGACGCCCCTCTGGGTCGGTACCCGTTGGCCTCCCCGCCGTACCCTCCCCCCCTCCCCACTCCCCTCCCTCTTCCTCTCCCCCTGCCCGAGAACCGCCCATAATCCGCCCTCCCGCGACCATACCCACCGCGAAACGCCCTCATCTGGCCCTCATCTCTGTCCCCTCCCCCCCTACCGTACCCCCTCCTCTCCCCTTCCCCCCCTTCCCTGGGCGAAAACGGCCTCCCTTCTTCATGCTCCGCGCCTCCAATCTCCGCCCTCCTGCGATCGGGCCCTCTGCCATCTGGACCGCCTCTGGGAGGTGGTGGGGGGGGAGGAGGCGGGGTGGCGCCCGGGTAGCCGGGCGGATCGCCGGGGCCCCTGCGCCAGGAGCCCTCCAGGTCGCGCGGGCGGCTCTGGCTCCAAAAGCTGTTGCCGCGGCCGCGGCCGCGGGCCGGCGGGCTCTGGGGGCTCATGCCGCCCTCAGTGGATGGCCGAAGCGGGACGGACGGCAAGCGCCTGCTTAAAAGAGTCGTAGGAAGAGATGCGCGGATGGATGGCTTCCTCGCAGGTGGGGGGGGAGGCGGGGTGCGTGTGTGTGGAGGTGGCTTGCCGGCTGGCCGCGAGGCTTCACGGAATGTGAAGAGAGGCTGATGGTGGAGAGGATTGGGAGTTGGTGTGGTTGGAGGCGGCCTGCAGGAGTGGGGAGGCATGAGGGGGTGTTAGAGGAGCAATCGCGGGCCGCGGTGGCGGGCGGGATCGGATGGGCTGGGCGGGGATGCGGAATGCGCTGGACTTGGCCGCACAGGCCACCGGCGGCCTCGGTTCAGCACGGCAGGCCAGATTCTGGTCGCAATCTGGCTCCCCTGCCCGGGGGAGAGCAGTGCAAGTGCACAACGACGGCAACGTGCGCGGGGCCCCAGGGAGGCGCACCTGAGTGCACACCGATGGCGGCAGACCCTACACCAGTGGGCTCGGGTGCTCGACGGTTCGGCTTTAGCCCACTCGCAAACGCCAAGGCCGCCGAAGGCTGCGAAGGACGGCGGAGAGCGGCGCGGCGTTGGCTCAAGTCCAGCTGGGCGCAGCGCCAAAAACCCCCGGCCCGCCGAACGCGGCGTTTCTAGGCCAGGACATCGGCATCCCTCCCACGGCCGCACTGATGGTGCCTCATTAGGTGCGCCACGCAAGTGTAATGCCGAGCCACGGCTTCCACGCAATCCGCCTTGCTCTTTCCGCGCAGCAGCGGCGCACGTCCTCACGGGGCAGGGAGGGGCTTGGCGCTCAGTCCCGGCGCCGGCAGGAAGGAGCCGCCGCCTGTCCCCGCTCTCACTCGCTGGCCTTGTGCCACTTGGGCCGCGTGTCCACCTGTCACCCCGAGGGCGGTCTCATGCGTGTCCACACTCGTGCTCGTAGGGAACCTCACTTGTTCTCACGGAGGCAGGCCACTGGTAGTTTTGAATAAGTGCCGCGTCTGTCCAGACCCTCCGATCGTCTCGAGTCCGCGGGGGGAATGCGCCTGGTGCCTGCCGCTGACCGAAGCGTGGGTTGTGGTGACCGGTTTCAAGGACACAGGGCTGCGGCACGTGCCAGGAGGTCTCACGGGCGCCTGAGGGCAGGGCTTGCGTCCCCTCCCGGGGTGCCGCGCCGGCAGCGCGGCAATGGTGACCGCGTGGCGCGACTGACTCGGTTTGCTGGCCCGAGGATGCACAGGGAATGCACGATCGGGAATGTGGGATGATGCTAGCCGTGCTTTGACCGCGGTGGGTGGACGCTGGACACAGCCAACACCGCGCACAGCGCCGTTTAGTGGCTCGAGGCGCGGCCTTTGGGCTGGGTGTTTTGTTGCTGATAATCTGATTGCAGAGACTCGCAACGCCGTGAGAGATCACTTCTCCTGGATCATTTGCAAACGCCAACCTGCAAGCTACCCGTGTTTTGGTCGAGCTGGTCCGCCTGCAGGCCTGAGTGCAGGATAGAAAGCTTCGTGCCAGGTGGCCTGGCGTGTCGGTGGCCCGTGCTCGGCCCCGGTCTATGCCATGTTCCCTATTGCCTGCGAAGGATTCCTGTCGTGGGTGACGAGCGTTGGCTCTTTTAGCAGTGGAGTGCACTTACCCAGAGCATGCGGGGTGTGCTTGGGAAAGAACGGCATCCAACCAGAACTGCATCCACTGCGCAAGTGCTGCCAGGTTTTGGACACTCGCGATACCCGATATGGGTGCACTGGACATAGGCCAAAGCCCCCCACTGCACATCACCTTCTCATAGCAGGGAAAAGAGTCCCCCACACACTTGCTTAGGAGGGGATGCCCTTTTTATTACCTGTAACACTTTCTCATTGTAGCAATTCTTGCCCTGTGCCCTGACTCCTGAACCGTTGACTCCGGGCCATGCCAATCCATCGTGCATAGCACAGGTCTACGTGCCAGCCTGGCTTCTTCTGAGGAGGAATGGAATAGCATCCAGAGGATGGGATCATGGTCAATGCACATTTCGTGTGCCATGCATATGCTGCAAAGGAAGGCAGGGTTGCAGCACGTTGCACAGTGTCAACGCCACAGCAGTTTGGTGTGAGTGCTGCTGTTGAGATGGTGGCACCATCTTGTATCCTCAAGGGTAGAGTTCGTTGAGTTGGAAGTCTGGGTGCTTGAGTCTGTGTGGAGAATGGAGGTGAAGGAAAACTCCAAGTGTGCCATTTCCATTTCACTTGGTGAAGAATGGGAGATTGTCAGGACAGAAAGTTCCCTGATTGATCGTGTTGGAGGCTCCAACACCACCCATGCGTCTGAAATGGAGTTGTTTGAGCTTCCTGCAGGGCATGTGGTCAGGGACTGTGCTGAATGCATGGAGCACACCTGTTCGTTTCTACATGCAACATGGTTGGGTGTGGTATGGCGTTTGGTGCGACGGTTGTTTGCTGCATATACCAATATGCAGTGTACCTGCATAATGTGACTTTGTGCGGTTCACACTGGAAATGTCTGTGCAGGACTCCACTTCCCTTGCTGGCCCTCTATCCAGGGGATCTGGCCAATGCCACAATGGCACTGTTCCCAACGGCATTGTGCCCCCACCCCCAATCTCCCAATACTTTCCTGACCTGCCCCCATTCCTTTCATGACCTGCAACTGCTTAACATGTGTGTTGTCTCCAACAGCATGACATTGCCCAAGTCAATGCCTTTATTGGACCTGGGACCCATGGACCCATACTACTAAGATCCATGGGCCACCAATGTGAAATTCCTGCCAGCAGGATCGATCCATTTTGTTGGATTGCCATATAGTGTCGACAGAGTCACAAACAGTAACAGAGAAGGAGGCCCAGGATGGAATAGGAAGGATGTGGGACGGAAGAACTATCGTCTTTGGTGCATCGGCGTTACTCAAATGTGTGCAGCGCCCACCGTTGGAGCAGCACCGACATGGGCACACCAACTCATGGACACCACTTCATGACAGTCCCCCTCATTGTTTCCCAAGTACAGTCAGCCCGGGGCTATAGGCTGCGTAGTATGTCTGCACCTCTTCCCACCAGCCGTCACGAGTTCACCGTTTCCTAATTCATTCCGAAGCACCTCAGAAATTTCTCATCGTATCCGTAGTAAGGACAAAAACATCTACTTCTTGCTCAAGAACAAGGGGTCCCCATTGCACAATTATCTTCTTCCTCGTCGCCGGAAAAAAAAAGGAGAATCTCTGGCGCAACATTCCATCGACTGGATGGCATCAGAGCGAGCTCGACTCTAAAGCCGGGACTCCCGTCCTTCTGAAATTGGCAGCACTTCCATTGCGCATGTTCCCCCGACGGCCAGTGCCGCACGCTCATGCGTACACCTGCCTTCAAATCAAGCCCTGGCATTCCTTCGCGGCTACTTCCACCTTCCCGCCACGCAGGGCAGCTTCAAATACCCCTCGCGCTTCCAGCCTGTCCACACGAACGTCGGGCTGCAGCACTTCCGCGACCGGTGCTCCTCAACGATGCCAGCCACGAGGGACGTCTTGTAGGAGCGCCATTTGTCAGAGGTATGGCAGTGCGCCCGAAGCGCGTCGTCGTCCACGTTGCCTGACCGACACAGTGTTGTTGCATTTGCCGCCCATTGAATCCAACGGGCAGTCAATTTCTCAAAGCGTTTGCACCTCCGTAGACTTTTGTCGAGGCTGCTCCAATGTCCGTGGCAAATGCTGCCGTTGCGCAGATCGTGCGGCGAGGCCCATAATTCGCCTCAGTTTTCGCATCAGGTCTTTATTTGAGGCTTTGTGTTTGATGATGAACAGATGCATGCTGTCCGTGCTCCCACAAGCTAAACACAGGGAAGTGTGACATGAACAATCCATTCTGCGAGAGCAATTTGCTTGGTTTTCACGCCCATCGTCGCTTATCAGGAGCGCGGGCTGTGTTTTGTGTACAATGCAAGGCGCTGCCGGCATCAGTTTGTGCCTCTTGCCACCGACAACGGGATCAGTTGCGATACCGACTCAGATGCGGCATCGAAAGCGATTCGGCACCGCCGGGTGGCCGCAGCTGCCGCTCGCCCAGCGGATGGACATCCAGCACAAATCGGCGACAGCAAAGTACCTTGGGATGCCGCGGTGAGGTCGTCGATCGTCTTTTGGCACACGCGTTTGAGGAGGTCCCACTTGTTGAGCACGTAGAGCCGCGTGGTCTCTACGGTCACCACGGTGGTGGGGTGGCGTGCGTTCTTCAGGGTGCACCTCTCACCGAAATGCTCGTACTTCCCGGCAGTGTCCACCTGAAACGAAGCATTTGGCCACAGGCGTTCCCACCCGCATGTCGATGCCATTGTAGATAAGCACAATGCGCTGCTTCTTCAGAGCAGCTTGCTGTGCTTCAAGTCACATCCGCGCTCAGCCCCCACCCCAGCCACAGATGGGTTGATCCTTACATTACACATCGAGATCCGCAACAAATGGCGCCATGCTTTTTTACCTGCTGCTTGCCGCCAGATGAAATTGTCAGCCCTCCTTTAAATGGTTGCGAGGCGGTTTGAATCACGCACTGCCAGTTTGCCATATGTTGGAAAAGGGTCAAGAACGCGAGCTGCTGTATGTGCCACATTATAGCTATTTTCCACCGGCGGCTTTTGTGCGCAATCTGCGCACATGCGAAGTGCTTTCAGATGTTAGCACCGGTGCCAATGGGGGGCGAAAGACCAGCAGAATTTCAAGCTGAATACGAATGAAATGTGGGCAACTGAGAGCACAATAAATGATGCTCAATATGACCGCCATAATCGAAGTCGTCACGGTTTCGCTGCGAAGCATGGCGCGGATCGAAGATGCTGTGTCTTGTAGACTGCCCGTCGATTGCTTCGATTCTTTCTCCTCTTCGCTCCAACGCACTGCTTTCGGCGTGCTGCCTTGAATTCCCCAACTCACTTCTAAATACAGCCAATTCCCCCTCAGCAGCCTCTCTGACTTCTGGAAGCGCCGAACTTCCGCGTCCGTCATCATTTTGTCCCTCTCGTCCTTCGCGGCGCGCAGGGCGTCCATTGTGACGCTGAACAGCGTCTGCCGACTCTCCCTGTACTTTGTCAGCAGGCGCTGCAGCAGGGCCTCCCTCGGTGCAACAATGGAGGCACGTGCCTGAGGCCTGGCGCCTAAACCACCGTTGATTGTGTCCTGATGATGCGCGATTTGATAGTCCGTGGCACCCCTCCGTGGCTGATCTGTTTGTTGCGCAGTGACTCTGCGTGTGGCAATTGCGGATCGCTGAGAAATTGCTGCTCGCCACTGAACCTGGCCAACAATGCCTGTGGACAACGCTGACGGGTGCACTCCCTTCACCATGTTGCAGATAAATGGGCGGAACCTTGTGGCATTTGGGCCAACTCATTGCAAATTAAAACGTCGAAGGAGAGGAGGAGCTGGTTTTGAAGTGAATGTGTTTTCAAAGGAGCCCTTCATCGTTCAAGACAGTGGCCCACAACAACGCCATGGTGCGCTCACTCAAATCGAAAGTTTTGGGGCGTTCTCAATGGCTACTGATCTGTTGGCCACAGGTCCTGCACCTTGGCGTGGATCGATGCGAAGACTGGCACAAGAGAGTGGCTATTTCAGAACGCGCTGGTGACGCGTGGCCCCGAGATCGTTAGGAGTCCCCTATTCGGCAATGGGGCGGGCATGAACAACAACATTCACGACATTTAAGCTAATGTCCTAATGGACGCAGGCGACTGAGATTGACAAGTGCAGCCACATGCTGCAGGTGCAATGGGGTTGCGTTATAGCGTGATAGTTTTAAGCGGCGTTAGACAGTTGTGCCTTGTTTGACTTGCCTACTGTCGACACCGACGGAGTTCTTGTGAGCGCGGGGCAGCAGTTCGGAGTGCCGCTTCACCGCTCGGATCATTTTCACCCGGCCGATGACGATGAAAAACATGTCCTCCCATTCCTCGTCCTGTCGGATGACCACCTGCATCAGCGAACGAGCGCCCGGGAGGCACCCTCAGTCGGGCGTCCTTTTAGGCATTTGCTTATTTTCTCATGCTGCCTATCCTGTGGTTCAAGTGGACAGCACTGGCCTGTTTCAGCGGATGGTTTCAAGTTTTGTTGAGCTGTCGAAACTTCTGTTTGCACAGTGGCATTGCGGGTCCCGCTAATCTCTTTATCTACGTGCGGGCTGTCACCCGATCCGCGTCAACGTCAGCGCCTCTTCTGTTTTTGACAGGGGTATCGGGCCACACATTTGCCATTTTGACGCAGTTGGGAATGCACCCTAACCATTTGCCACCAAACAAGGTGAGTGATAGACGCTGCGCACCCGCCTGCTTGGGAGGCACCTCCCGCTCTGTCAGAGCGAGGGCGATGCCCTCCAGCTTAGCGTACGGCAATTTCCGGAAGCACGCCACGTGCTTCAGGAATTCTATCTTGCCGCCAATGTCCCTGTGCATATCTGCGCCCAGGATGGCCTCGTAGTGCTCGCGCTCGAGTTTCAGCATCTCGGTGTTGTCGTTGCAACTGACGGTCGCCCTCCTCTCTGCATCTGGGTGCAGGAGGGACAGCTCGCCGAAGCTGTCACCGGCGTACAGCCTGGCGACTTCAGTCGCCTGGAGCGACCATTCATTTTTGCAATTATGACGAGCAGCAGCTAATCAAGCCACCTTGAAACCCCATGCACAAAAACACAACTTTGCCATGCTTTCTGTCCGAAATATCTGGGCAAAGAAGCTGCTGTCGGAGCTGCTTGAGCACTGAAGTGGTACATTTTCCTACGATCCTGTGGATTTTCGGCACCTTATTTCTCCCCAAAAACCATTCATGTGAATGGTGCATCAAATTGGACGATTCTTTCATTGCCTAGCATGATTTTTGTTGACTTGGATTCCCAAGCAGCCATAAATTACGAGCATCACAGTATCATAGGTATTCACCATCCGACAATTCATAAATTTTTCATGAAATGGGATTTCAACCTTAGGCAATAAAATCCTTAATTTCACCTGCTTTAACACTTGACACGTTGCCAATGTGTGTACATTGGAGAAGATTTGCTGTTCACTGGGAAGGAATGCCACCCAAACGTTACAGGAAATGGGTGATGTTGCTTCATTTTTAAAGCGTATAACAAACAAATTCGCCGAGCAAACTCGTCTTGAAATACACCAAATACACGAGTTGCACGCAATTTAAGTATGTACAGAATGTGATCTACAGGGTGAATCTATGGCAGATTGTTGCCACCACCTCCTCCTCTTTCGCGTTGGTTTGCGACACTGTACACGACCCGGAGACGACAATGAAGAACGCCCCTCCAACGTCTCCTTGACGGAAGACCACATCTCCCGGGCCCATGCAAACATATTGGAGGTGCTGGCGCATGCGAAAACGGCAGTAAATTTCTGTCCACCATTGTTCTCCAGTTCTTGCTCAGCTGTTTATCAGAACCCGCACAGAAACAGGATGTCTTTGTGGGGCATGTGAAGTTGCAGAACTTCGAGTCATTTTGGCCGCTATATTCATGTGTTCGAATGAGCGGAAGAGCACATATTTAATTGATGACGCATATCTCGGGGTTGGAAAAATGACGACCAGGATTTGTGTGGATTGGGGTGTGGATTGACGGCGTCAGCCCCAATGCTCCAATGAGGCAACAAAAGCGTCCATGGGCATCGGATAGTCGTTTCATTCTGCTTGGAGGTTTCAAGCCGACAGAGGCGCGAATTCCTCATCCGCGAGGCTTCCTTTTCGTTCACTTTTAGTTCATCTCACTACATTAACAAATTTCCTGGATGCGTTAGCATTCCCATTGCCTGGGCGCCAGTGCTACTTGTGCGCTATGATTGCATTGTGCAGGTTGACGTACAGGACGGAAGCGGGACCAAGGGCCCATTTGGTAAGTGGCAAGAGAAGAAAACGCGCCCAATGAGGGTACATGGCAACGTTTGAGCTGTTAATTTCCTCAGTTACGGGTACTCTCGAAGCATATATGCTGCCAACTCAATGTTCCTGCACTTCCAGTACACTATTTAGTGAAGTGATTCTGCTGTACTGAATTCAATATTGAATGCCATTTCGCCACTGGATGCGGCAATGCGTCATACGTACCCTGCAGACTTGAAGACGCTTGCGCTCGTCCATTTCCATTCCAAATCTGACTTTACAAAGTGTTTTCTCCAGCACCATCAAATCCTGGAGCGTGCGTTCATCTGACCTGAGGGGTAAATATTGACGGTCATAATTAAATTTTGACCGCAGTGTCTTTACCGCAATATCAGGAAAGCGCCGCTACTGCCACATGCAAAGCAAAAGCACTTCCTGTTTTTAATGGAGTTTACGACTAGGGTATTAGAAAAAACAATGCGCAAAGATTCGCTTTGTATTGAGGGTGCCGCACGCATTTGAGCGTCCACGGTTCTGAATCCAAATGCCACACACCCATTATATCAGAGAACTTGTGGGCATATAAAGGGAGATCTGGAAAGGGAGGCCGCCGAGTAAAGAACAAAATGCTACACCGAACAAAACAGGACATCAAGTAGATTCAAGAAATATTACGTGTTAATGATCAGGCGGTTGTCATCAACACACTATAAACAGATCACATCAGCACAGTCAGGACAAACGATAAGTTTCCGCGCACAGCAATTCGATGGTGTCAAGAAAAGCGCCAAACCAAAACCTCTTTGCTTCAGTCCGTATATCAAAGAGGGCACATGTCAGGTCGGGTACGGTGGACACTTGCGTTTTCTCTAGAGCCTCCAGTTCCTTCATCCTTGTCTGCCTGTGACTGGAGGCCTTCGAACCCCGACGGGCAGTGGCGCTTCGCGCGGCGCCCTGCGGTTTGGCCAGCATGGGCAGATCTCCCGTTTCCATTTCGGCCCCTCCGCGCTCGCCTAAGTTGTGGCTATTGACAGAACTCACTCTTTCGGCAGCAATTTCGGGTGTTTGGCCTTGGGGGAGCTGGCTTATCCTGGAATTTCGCCACGCCAATACGGCCTCTTTTCGCTACAAGAGTGAGGCATGTGAAATCCATCTGCCGGGCTGAGTACCAATAAAGCCGAGCAATAGTTGGATGGCTGTACAAGGTGGCCTGTGAACAACATTGGTTGGCCATGGATGCCACCACTTCAAAATCGTGGGTTTTTCGGGCATCCTTTTAAGCACTAATTTCACTGTCGCAACAGGGATCTGGGGGCTATTTTTCTGCTTTAATGCTCGCAATTCTTTTCTGAATTTCTGATTGGTTTACAGCTCGAAACCAGTCTTCTAGCAGCACAATATTTCAGTGCTGGTTCTGAAATGGCACGTTAGGAAATGGCAGTTGCGGTGCACGAATCGACAGTCGAGACCTTCAGCTGTAAATGCGTTTCTTGCAAAATTTAACGGGTGAATGATTTTCCCAATGCCTTCCTAATGCTTTCCCTGGACACCATGGAACCCTGAACATCGCAGTTTGGCTTTTTCTAGGATTTCAAGACACTAACGTTCAGAAATCATCAATTCGACAATTATTGTTGGAGCTGTCAGTGCTGTCAATGATACATAATAACATCTATTTTCTGAACTTCTGTCAGCCTTTTGGAAACTATGGGGACATTCTAGCAAGGTCCTCTATTCATGACAGGCTGCAGGGAAAGCTTCGTTTGCCATTTCCATATGGTGTCGTGTGTCGCCACTAATATTTTGCACAGGCCCACGGTGGCTGTGGTGGACGCCCGAATAGGTTATGGCATTCTCATATTGATATGCTCTCGATGCCCAATGGGAATATAGAGAATGCAGCCTGCTATTTGTGGTTTCGGCGCCAGAAATACACTGAAATAGGACACCCGCAGCTACCTTTTCTAGGTCACTGTCTGATGACGACCCTTACATCGTCTCATGTGTCGTGCATGACATTGTCATCGGCAGTCACATCACAGCACTACTGTTGTTTCGCACATCAGATGTGTGACTGCCCGCCTAACTTGCAACTTCACATAACGATGCATACTTGAGCGCGCCGACCAGCCGCTGGAAGAGAAAGGAGGAAACATGGTCGCAGATGCTAATGCAAATAAAATAGGCAAATTAAATCCGGTTCCATCAGTAAATTGGGACATGCTTTGACCAGTGGTGGGCAGCGGATACATGATATTGCAGAGCATCATGTGATCCAAACGAGAACGCAAATCGTGTCTAATGGGCAGCCAGATGGCCACCGATGACCAGAGAGTGCGTCCTAATCAGACTGTAAAACGTGTCTTGCATTTCATGCCTTGCTAAGCACTGCAGAATCTGGAACAGCAATGGCTTTTTGCGGCCGACCATAACAGGGCGTTTCGTTTTTGCTGCGGGGTACACGCAGAGATTGTTTTCGTTTAGTAATATGAGCTATGAATATGCAGGGCTACAATGTAAACTGTGTGTTTTGTGCAAGGACTGCCCAAAATTTCCAACGTACCAGCAACCGTTATGAAAATTGTCTGAGCGGTTGGCACGATGTTATTTGTAAACATGCAGCCACAAGCCACCTGTTGCCTGATAGCGCAGCAGTCATACTGTGTCAAAGGTAAGCCGCATAACTCAAAGTTGGTGTTGAAAGCTAAGCGCAAGCATGCCGCAGTGTATCTAAAGCCAGATACCGTCTATCACCCTTTTCGCTGTTTTCCTTTTCAACCGTTGAGCTCTTTCCACCAGTGTGTACATCTCCCACACATATCCCACACGCTCTTCAGTCACAATTACGGTGATATAGTTCTGGTCATTGCAATGGTGTTCGATATTTGGACGCCCTGAGCATTGCCTAAACCTACGAACTCTCGATCGGGTCTCTCGATCGTGCTCTACTGTGCATGTCAGAAATAGCGCTGCAGAGCAGCCATGCTCTGAGATGCCAAGCCCTGAAATAGCCATTCTGTAGTAGCGGCTGCTTGCTCTGTCCGTTGGAAATAATGTACGATAATCACGTGTTTGAATTGGAGGCCAATCGCTTGTCATATGGCAGAAGTAGTCTACCCAGCGAAGCGATGGTTATTGTGCAGAATCCAACAAAAGGGTTAATCCCATAAACAAGAGACTACAACAATAGGGCGCCTTTGGCTTTGTAAAACCGCAATTCTTCAAGGGTACAAAATATGCCACAAAAACTCTAGTAGCTGTCACATGACAACCTTGCCCTGTGCGTCGATTGCGTGCGGAATTAGTCTTAGTTTAACTAAACCACTAGTGGCAACACTAATAGTGTGCCGATTTGAAGAACGAAGCAGGACACTGTGCTGAACTAACATCTGTAGATCATTATTTTGAACATGTCCACACACCTGCGCGGACTGCATGTGCATGGTCCTCTTATTAATCAGTCGGCCTCTTCGTGCATGGGCAGCCATGTTCTTTGGAGCTCGTTTCGTTGAACACCTACACCTGAGGCCAGCGACCTTGAGGCCTGTTCCCTTGGAAAGTCTAATAGACCAACCAACAGTGGTATTGAGGCGTGATTCTTGTGCTCCCGTTTGTTGGGGCCCCAACAGAAGCAGGCCTTATTCCTTGGACCCTGCAACCGGTGTAAATTAGCTCAAGGATACCAATTTCCTTGGCCCTGACATGAGATCAGACTCGTCAAATGCAATTTCTCGTGCCAGACACGGCGCATTTGTGTAAGGTATTTTCCGTCAAGGATGCATTCGCACACATAACCCACCCACCCACTTCACCCACTCTGCCGGGCCCCTATAGGGGAGAGTAGCTACTCTCCACACACACACACACACACACACACACACACACACACGCACACACTCCTCCCTCTCACTGTGTTGTGTGCTCATCGTTTCTCACCAGAAACTCTGCATCAACTTCTCACAGCATGAAAGAGTCCCGCATGCACCCGGTCAGGAGGGGGTGCCCTTTGTACGGCCGTCTGTCTTTCTTTGTGTAGCCAATGTTTAACTTCGCCCCCTTCCCCCCCTCCCCCCACCCCCAAACCCCACACGGAATAGAGTCTCGCATACACTTGCTCAGGAGGGGGTGCCCTTTGCATGACTTGCTTCTTCCTCAGGAACAAATCTTACCCCACCCCCTCCCCTCGTCTTCACCGCATCGCAGGCCCGCTCACCCCACTCAACCGTATGCGAACCCTGATCTCCGGTACGGCGCGCCCCCAGATCCCATGCGTCACCCCTGCCAGGTGGCCCACGCCCGCAGCACCCCCTCCCCTCTCCCCCCCCAATCCCTCCAGCCACCCCCTGCCCAACACTAAGCCCCCCCTGACAATCCCACATCCCTCTTTCTGTCAGCCCTGCGGCCCGTTTTCTGGCGAGAGCCTCGCAGCCCCGTGCCCGCCCGCAAGCCAGCCCCCCGGCCTTCAGGGAGGCCCCCAGCGGCCGTCCGGGGGAACCCGAATCGGCCCCCGCACTCACCGAGCGGATCGCCGCTGGCCCGGCAGAGGGGGAGAAAAGGAGGCGGAGGGCGGGGAGGCGCGGGCGGTGGCGGATCGAGGGCGTCTCCCCGGCGTGTGGCGCGCGCTTGGGGGGGCGGGGTGGAGGGCCCCCCATGAGCAGGGGGCCGGGAGGCTGGGGGCCAGGCGGTGAGCTACCCGGCCTGCGCAAGTGCTTCAAGCGGAAGGCACCAGACAGCGCGGCCAGCCTGGCCGATGACATCGACGCGCCGTCCGTGATGGAGGTAGGGACGGGAATGGGACGGGACGACGGGCGCCGTCGGCAAACGCCCGCCTGGAAGGGGGGGGAACAGAGCGTGGTTTTGAGCCGAGTGCCGACTCCAGGAGTTGGCAGGGTTCTGGCCTTTGGCCTAGGCTAAGATCTTCCACGGGGTGGGGCCGGGCCCGCCGGTCGGATTGCCGTGGGGAGGATGAGGGGGCCGGACTGAGGGGGCCGGGCGGGCCGGCGAAGGGCCGCCCGAGGTGCTGACCGCCGGTGGGTGTGGTTGCCGTCTGCCCCAGGCCTGTCACCTGATATCCGTCCTGCACAAGGCGAAGGAGCAGCCAGGGAAGGGCGTGGACGGCTGCGCCGTGCGGCGGGCGACGCACGGCCTCGCGGAGCTGTGCAAGTCAGGTGGGCGTTAGCGGCGCGCCGCGGGTCGCGAGGGGAGGGGGGGGGGGTCGGTCGGGGACGGGCTTTCGATCGGCGCCCTTGGAGTCGTCTCAGCGGAGAAGGCCTGTTCGGAGCTGCGGAACTGATGCTGCTGTCACCGCCGCGGATGTTTTTGCCGCGGGAACGAAGATGGCGGAAAGGCTGTGACGACTGCTGGTTGCGACCCTCAGCATCCTGCGCACCCCTGATAATCGGCAACGGGAGTGAAACCATCTTGCTGTGGGGGCTGACGATCCCCTGAGATTGGTGGTCCTGGCGTTGTGTTTCAACTGCAGGTGTTGGCCACGCTGGTGATGGTGCTCTGTGTTTGTGTTGTTCAGAGGTGAATGTGGAGACAGTAGTATCAGAGGGCGGGATCGAGGCACTTGTTCCTTACCTGGTGTTGGTGCCAGAGACGTTAGATAGACCAGATGAGTTGTGGACTGGCTGGAGGTGAGCGGCAGTGTCCCACACTTGCAGTTGCCCCCTGCCTGTGGAAGGGGAAATGTACCTTGCTGGCTTGATGACGTGCGGAGTTTGCGTCTAAATTGTTGAGTCAGTGGTGGTACAACAATTGTCTTGCTGAGACCTACACACTCTTGTCCACAAGGAGGATGCCACATGGCATGTTTCTATCATAACAAAGGTGCTTGGGGTAGGTGGGAGTGTTGACAGGTGCAAGAGTTTACCTTTCAGTTGAACGTTGGAACAGGATCCGGCAATATATCCTTGTGGAGTCTTTCTATCAAGAGCATAGCAGAATATTCTGCTTTCACGCACTGGTCGATGATGGGGAAGGATCCAAAAAGTCGGGTTGTCTGGTACCAGGCTCTGCGAGTCTCCTTGGGTCTTGTGTAGGTTCCTACCCTGTGCTCCACGAACTCTGCATTCTGTCTTCTCACATCAGATGGCTTGTGATTTCACAGTGCCGATGAAGCTGCAAAGGAAGCCTGCTTCATACTCGGCCTCCTTGCTACAAAGACAGAGTTCCAACAGCGGATCGCCGACTCTGGCACGTTAGCAGAACTCATCGCATTGCTCAAGCTCCACCAATCGTCTCCTCCCCCTGGCTCACTACACAATCCCATCAAGAGTGCCGGAGTAGCACGCAGGGCCGCAGATGCCATAACAAATCTGGCTCACGAGAATGTGTATGTGAAGAATCTTGTACGGCAGATGGGAGGAATTCCCCCCTTGGTCGCCCTGCTAGAGTCTTGGGACGTGAAAGTGCAACGTGCAGCAGCAGGAGCTCTGCGAACACTGGCTTTCAAGACTGAGGAGAACAAGGCGCAGATCGTTCAGCACGGTGCTCTGGAACTGTTGATAAGGATGCTCACCTCTGAGGAAGCTGGGGTGCATTATGAGGCTGTTGGTGTGATTGGGAACTTGGTGCACTCATCAGGGCACATAAAGCGGCAGGTGAGCAGGCGCAGATCGTCGTTGGTTGCGTTGAACAGACCTGACAAAGCACTGCCACTTTCACCCATCAGACGTTGTGCTGTGGAGCACTGCGGGCATGGTCGTTGATTTTCACCCTACCCAGTGATTGCCTAATTGGGGGGCTTTGCGACACTGCCAACACTGATATGGGTACGATTGTATAACATTGTTAGCTAATTTGTTGAGCAGTGAGAAGCCAGTCCCTGCTAGACTGCCAAACCGAATTGTTGGCAGAACAGGGCCATGGGCTAACAGTAATTGTGCTTTGCGGGCTGCAGTTGTCCCGCCTTGTTTCAAATCCGGTCACCCACTGGGTTCATTAATCCTGGGTGGCTGCACTATCAGTATACGACTTTTGCTGGATTTGCGCCTGTTAAACTGTGTTTGGAAGCCCATAAGTTTGAACATCGGTCAGGCTGATTTGACTGTCATGTGTGGCACTAAGTGATGCAACTGTCACATGCTTGTAGTCCGCACATGAGTGTTCATGCCCGGCATTCCGTGGCTCTATCATTGATTACTTCAAGCTCGTTGTGGACGCTATGCATTGGAGGTACTTGCCTGCTCCATGCATTCATGGCCATCCACATGAGTGCCTGTTGCTGCTTTGCTTGAGCCCTGAAGATACTCTTGACATGGTGCTGTCTTCATGTGCCCATGGCTGCCTCCTGTCACGTGCTGTGTGGAATCGATCTCAAGTCACTATCAGCGTAGTCAGGTCCTGTGGTTCGATTCTTTTTGTGTGCATGCAACTTCATGCCCAGTGCTTGTCTCTTGTGTCCAGGTGCTTCAGGCTGGTGCCCTGCAACCTGTGATTGGGCTCTTGAGTTCCCCATGCAATGAGAGCCAGAGAGAGGCGGCGCTGCTGCTTGGCCAGTTTGCAACCGCCGACCCTGACTACAAGGTCAAGATCGTGCAAAGGGGGGCTGTCCCCCCACTCATAAACATGCTCAGCTCAAACGATACACAGTTAAGGGAGATGGCCGCCTTTGCACTGGGTCGGTTGGCGCAAAATGCAGACAACCAAGCCGGGATACTGCACTCCTGTGGCCTTAAGCCACTGCTAGAACTGTTGGAGTCTCGGAACTCAAGCCTGCAGCACAATGCGGCATTTGCGCTGTACGGATTGGCGGACAACGAGGACAACATATGTGAGATCATCAAGGAGGGGGGGTACAGTCGACTCATAAATGCTGATCTGATTGTCCAGGCATCGAAGGTGGGTTTCACGTGTGCTGTGCATGTAGGTGTCTTGCTGTGCTCAATGCTATTTGGATCATGGTGGACACTCGATGGCATCAATCTCCTTTACGCACCAGTAGATCTCTGAATACCTCAAACCTGATCCTTGGGAAGGTGCCAGCACTGTCCAGTTGATCCAAAGGAAACTCAGAAGCTTCGTGTGCATGTGAGGCTGTGGCTGTGGGTGCTGGATTGCAGTGAGCATAGGTGGTACTCATGAAGTGGATCATGTGCCCATCCTCACTTGCTGTGTTGGTATAAGTGATTGTTCGGGAAGTTGCCCACAATGTGAAAAGCACTTCCCAGTCCAAAGTGACCCGATGGTGCTGCCAGCAGCTGGAGCCGCTATACCTTGGTGCATGTCCTTGCAAGGAAGCCCAGGTGCCCTCTGTCTGGAAAGCCTGCACTCCAGCCGGTGGTCCCAAGGTGTGACATTGAACAATTCTGTGACAATGTTGTGTGCAGGATTGTGTGCAGAAGACCATGAAGCGACTGGAGGAAAAATTACATGGCCGCGTCCTTGGTCAGCTCCTGTACCAGATGCGTTCACCCTTGCCCCTCATTCAACAGCGCATTGCCTCCTCCCTTGCCCGCCTGGCGCCATCAAACTACTTCAAGCTGATCTTCCTTGAGCACAAGGGGCTGGACATCCTGCTGGACATGCTGATACAGGGCCAGGAGGGCACCCATGTGTCCAGTGAAGCAGCATCGTCCCTGTTCGAGCTGGCAACCAAGATCAGGAACACTGCGCCCATGGATGCCACACCAGATCAGCCAGCCAAGTCCGTGTATCTTGGAGAACAATACGTCAACAACCCCACTCTGGCCGATGTGACGTTTATCGTGGAGGGAAGGAAGTTCTATGCCCATCGAATCGCGCTCCTCGCGTCGTCAGACGCCTTCCGGGCGATGTTCAACAGCGGTTACAAGGAAAAGGAGGCCCGCCACATCGAGATACCCAATATCGGCTGGCCTGTCTTCGAGGCCATGATGCAGTACACATACACAGGCCAGGTTGAAGTCCCTGAGGACATAGCCCAGGAGCTGCTGCGGGCTGCGGACCAATACTTGCTGGAGGGCCTGAAGCGTCTCTGCGAGGAGGCCATATCCGACTCGATCAACGTCGAGAACCTGGAGCGCATATACACCCTCTCGGAGGCATACTCAGCGCCGCAGCTGGGCATCCGGTGCGTGCTATTTGCGCTGGAGCACTGCGACCAGGTGGTGGCCCACGTGGGGCAGGCAGAATACTTGGTGCTGATGGGTAGGATGGTGCCTCAGCTGAAGTCCTCGCTGACAGACCAGCTGCTGGCCAGCGAGGAGGAGGCCCAGATGGCCGAGACGCCGGACCAGTAGCTGCAGATGGGCGGGCAAGCGGGGAATAGAGTGCACAGGGGTCTGCTGCTTTGTCTCAGTGTTCGAGCACATGGGGACATCTGCACGCTGTGTTCAGACGGCGCAGCAGTGCAGTGTGCGCGCAATGGGTGACGCTGGGCGGGGCCAGGGGCCGTGCCGTCAGCCAGGAGTCCACCAGGAGTAGTTTGGTGGATGCATTCGCAAGGGGATGCGTGTGTCAACTTTGCTTGTAATAGTATCAGGGTGTGACGAAACACACGTGCAGTCTGGCGCCGCCTCGATGGCAGGGTGGTCAGGTTCTGGTGCGTTTCGTGCCAGAGCTGACGGGAGTCCACCTTCCCGTTGTGAGATTCAGCCACCTATGGCAAAGCACCGGAAGCAGGCAGCCCATGCATGCACCAGCGACACGCAGGGTTTGCTCTGGCCTGAGCGACTCGCTGGGTTTGCTCTGGCCCGAGCGACTCGCTGACGTCGTTGTGGTTGTCGTCGTGGTGCCTCACAAAGACCCCACCGTTTCACTGGCTGGGTCACTCAAGATACAGGGGGTGATGGGTCATTATCGAAAACGCTTTGTGCATTGTATGAGATGGCCTGGGTAAGCCACTATTGCATGAAAAATAACACGCAAGACAAAGAAGAAAACACACTGTTATTATGTGTCGCACAAGCACACATTGGGCGTGCGGGGAGGGAAAGGTGACGAACCAGGGTTGGCTCGAGAAGCCATCCTGTGTGCTCACTGCGTTTGATCTTGACTGGTCACCTCCCAAGGGGGGCCAATGGTTTTGGGAGGGACTTGGGTACCCTTGACTCAAGGAAGTGGAAATCAGTGGGGCTGGCAACCGCCTCCCAAGCTGCTTTTCTTGGTAGGAAATGGCGTTCACTTGGGAGCTGAATGTGAATATGGAAGGTGTGTGCTATGTGTAGTCACCTTGGAGCCTCTACCAAGATGCGCACTAAGCAAGGAGGTATGTGCTCTATCACTCTCAATGCACGTTCGGAAAGGCAGTCATCCACCAGTGACAGTCGTTACTGCTGACTGACCAGGCATCAAAATATAGTGTGAACACCTTGTTAGCCAGGTGACTCGACAATGGACAGACACTTACGGCCTGGCGCATATCCAGACCCACGTACCGTGTTTGCCCGCTGTTCCTGCCCGCCCCCAATCAATATCAGCCCCCTTCTCTGGGATCAAACCACGGAGTGTCCATGACCTGGTATTACTATCCAACCCCCAAACCTCAATGAAAACGAGCTCAAGAGACTCGTTGGATTCGCCTTGAAGAGAGGAAGCTGGTTTGCACATCTTTGCTTGCGCAGCACTCTTGTTGAACCCCTTCAACGTGCAACAACAGCCACAAACTGCTCATCCTGTATTGCCGATGCGATGCATTTGATGCATCCCTTGAGCAGCTACTCAGATTGAGCGGCTAGTCTGATTGGTGGGAAAGAGGCAGTTGCTTGTCGAGCGACTGCAGGCCATGCGTCCACACGACAGTTACACAGTCGGACAGTGACAGGATTAGAGTAGTCCAGACATGCCTGCATTGCCTGTTCCCGTCACAATTCTTGCCATGGCGCACATCTCCGTGGCAGCTGCACTGGCTCCCACGGCACCCAGCAGCGCAGCAGCGATTGCAAAGCACATCCCAATACTTCGAAATCACGCAGCGTGGCCTGTCAGCCATTTCTATGCAATGCATTTTGCATTATTTTAGGCCCATTTGGAGGCATTCCGTGCCCTAATCTTCAAAAATTTTCTGTCTGCTCCTTGGAACAGGGGGCTAAATTGGGTAAATTGGTACATTGTGCGGTTGTTCCTGTGTAACAAGCCGAATCTACGTGTGCAGCGAGCGCCACAAAGGGTGTGCGCATGATGCACGGCTTCTAGCTCGTGCCCGAGGCGACATCCTAGGAGCCATATTCATTGGCTGCGCTGCCGGGATCATGTGCATCCTTTTTTTATCCTGAGGTACTGCATAGCGCATCACGATGTTGGCTCGAATTCACGTGCAGTTGCTGAACACCGCCGCGAATTGAACAGAGGAATTGCCGCCCATCCGGCTTGGCACACACAGGCGCGACGTGCATCGGTATTTGGAGTCTATTCCCCGCCTCCTTCGTAGCAGGTCCTCATGATGAAGCAGATGAAGAGGGCAATATGTATGTTACACACCGTCTGTCCGCACGCAGACGGCTTCTTTGTTGATAGTATAGAGTTTCCCATGGCGCTCGCCTTCCACTTGAGAGTGACATCCTAATTCTGCAAAAAGTTATTTTGTCCTCATTTCTTCTGGCGTCTGCAACGTAACCTGTGCACCGACGCCCCTTCTCCATCTTCACCGTCTCAAACCTGACGTTAAACTAACGGCAAGAAATCAGTGCCCTCTAACACCAACCTCCAAGTGCCTCGTCGCCTCCTTGGGACTGCGAGAAAGGTCCCACCCCTGCAGGCCAGCCACGTGCCCAGTGGCCCCAACAGCGCAAATACAAACAGGCTGCACATGTCCTCCGAGAGGCAGAGGCAGCTGGTTCTTCCCTGGCCGACTCACCCTGTGTGCCAAAAACCCCCAATACATTCGTAGCAAGTCGTGTCCACCACCAAACCCTGACCCAAAAACAACTGGTAACAAAATTCGGAGCATGTGAGGCTGCCCAAACCCAAAATGGCCCCCAGAGCCTCCGAAACTATAGTACTTTTTCCTCGTGCGTTGTGGTTTTAACAAATTAAGAAATTCTGTTGAACTGCGAGCATCGTGGGGCCAACAGCACAGCATACAGGTTCCCACATGTGCAGGAAGATGCCTCGCAAAGCGCCACCAGCCAAGCTGGCAGTGCAAAGGCCAGGTGAAGTTATTCTTTACTGCACAGGCGCATTAGACAGCGATAGCAAAATGTTGGCCATTGAGCGAGGTAAGGACGAATCGTTGTGCGCCTGGCCGCCAGTCTCACCGCCAGCTGCGTGGACGGCGTCATCGTCCTCAACATCGTTGTGGGTGCCAGACAGATCAGACCCTATGGACTCCGCCTGGCTTGGTCGGGATCGGCGGGACTTCTTGATCAACCGGGACGAATGGCTCGCTCTCTGCACACATGCAACATATAACGATTCAAACAAACCTGCATCTTGATGCTGGTATCTAACAATGCACAGCTGCACTTCGTGCAAAGCCAAATCAAGGTGGCACTTGGGCACTAGTCCACCTCATGCAACATTTGCGAAACTGCACCATGGCAGATGCCACACAATGGGGCACCTGGCGATGGTACTCAACAGCACATGCATCTAACCAGAAACATCAGTGCCAAGATGAGGGCGACTGAGAGAGGATGTATGCCTTTGGGCATAAAGCTCTCCAGCCAGAAGGGGATGCACATCCACTGTGCTATGTTTCCTCTTCTTTGCCAATCCTCACTTTTCCGCTCTTCCTCTTCGAGACCTTCTTCACACAAGCAACTCCACACTTCTTTGTGCCAAGAGGTTCCTCCTGCACCAACGGCGCCTGACGACTGCTCCCAGTCGAATTTTCAGCACTGACTTCTACCATAGCCCCATTGCTACATTCCTTCTCTTTGGCAATAGGTGTCCTTTCCCTCTTTGGCGCCCGTTTGCTGTGCCTGTGCAATCAACAACAGTCGTTCACAGCCATGGGGAAAAGAAACAGCTCTGTGGCAGCTACAAGTTGCCTTGTGACGTCAAGAATGTTGAGCACTGCACCAAGGCCAACTTTCCAGGAGGGCCAAAAGCACCCCAATGCACCAGCTGCCAAGGAGGAGGGCCCCAGTATAGGATGAGCTTTCCTCCGGGCCACTATGTATCCCCTATGCCAAAGTGTAAACACTGCAATGTAATGGTAAGCACCACAATCACCAACCACTGCAAAAAAAGCAAACAGCAAAGATGAGAGCAGTTCCTACAGGAGAACGTCCCCAAGTCGCGTCCACTGCAACCCACCGCCATCCCTTCTTCAACAAAGAGGCCATCTGCCCCTCCCGGCGGTGCCCCTGCGGCTTGGGCTTGCAGCTTGGACCCGGGACCTGCTGCGAGGTCATCAGCACATCCCCAAACACCCTGGCCGCGTCCTGCCACCACCTGGGCGGGTTGGCCTCTGTGACCGCCTTCACAGCTGCCGCCACCGCCGCCCCAGTCATGGGGCCCAGAGGGGCTGGGGCCAGTGCCGAGGCCGCATCCAAGCCGCTGGGGCCCGCCGAGGGGGCGCCCTCTGCTTGCTCATCCCCACCAGACGACTGCTGCGGCCAGGGCCCGCCCTTGGCCGATGCTCCGTAGTGCTTTGCGTACCACAGCGCGTGGGGGTCGTTCACGGGCGGGGGCATCACGGGCACCGAATTCTCGGGCACGCCTGAGGGTCCTGCGGAAGGTCCTGCGACTGGCCCACCCCCCAAGGAAGCTCCGTAGCCCGGCAGCACGAACGGCGGCCTGCCGGACTGCTGGGCGAAGGGGAGGGGCGGGGGGCAGGGCCGGCCTAGCCATGCCTGGCCCTGACCGGGGATGCCCGCGTCAGCCTTTGCCTGGCCCCACCTGGAGCTCTCCCCAAGGACCTGGTGCAGGAACTGGGTAAGGTTCTGTGAGTACTGAGCCTGCGGCTGCTGGAGGGCGGGCGGCTGGGCGGCCGCCGGGCGCTCGGCCCCCCGCTGGGCGTCGCAGCCCGCCTGCACGCCCAGCCTCTGCGCCGCCTCCAGGAAGCCCTGCCGCCAGTGCAGGCGGTGCAGCTCCCACAGCTGGTTCGTGAACTGCTCCTGCTGCTTCAGCATCACCGACCGGACGCGCTGCCAGCCCTCCTGGCCCATCGCGGCCCGTGCGGCCTGCTGTGACATCACCACTCCGCCCCCGGCACCTCCTGCCGGATCGCCGGCCTGCGCCACTGCCTGTCGATGCCTCAGCGACGCCTCCGTGGCCTCGGACTGCCCGGCGCCCGTCCAGTCGCTCCGCGCCGCGCTCCCTCTGCGCTCCAGGTCCTTGTCCCCCCCGCCCCGATCCCAGGCGGCGAACCCACCGGACTTGAGCTCGCAGAACGACCCGCCCTCCGCCCCGGGAACCCCACTCTGCGCCCGCTGCGCCCCCCCCTGCTGCTGCAGCACCTTCCACAACCCGCCCTCCTGAAACGCCTTCTGTGGCCCGTCCGCCTGCCCTCCGGCAACCACCCCCTTCTCCCCCTCCTCGCATGCCGGCTTCATCAAACCCGATCGCTCGGCGCCCAGCCTTCCCACACTCTCCCACCGCTCCGCGCCCACCCCCAAGGTGGGCATGATCGACTTTTCCGCATCAGCCCGCTGGCTCCCCGGCCCCAGGCCCTCAGTTCCGTCCGACCCGCCTTCGGGCTGCCCGCCCATGCCGGCCCGCCCGATAGACCCGTTGTCCGCCTCGGCGTTGTTGGCCCGTGCGCTGCTGTTGGAGCGCTCGCCCGGGAATGGCGCCTGGGCGGCCCACGGCGCCAGACCCCCGCCGCCCTGCGCCAGCATACCGAAGCGGGCCTGCGCGGGCGTAACGGCGCCCGAGGGCGCGGGGGGCCTCTCAGAGGAGCCTCGGGACCGACTTGAAGAAAAAGGAGCCAAAGAAACGCGGAAAAGGATCGGAAAAGGGGGGCCCAAGCCCTGGCGCCGGCCAGCAGCGATGATGGGAAGGAAAGCAAGCTTCCCCGGCGCGAAATCGGCGTCGCCCAACGCGCTCGCTCGCTCCTTTCCAGTCCAAAGTCTTCCCTTTTCGCACGGGTGTGGGGAGAGGGAGAGGGTCGACGGGGGGGGGAGAGCGGCGGCCGCCAGGGAGGTGAAAAGGGGCAGGAGGGGGGAGGCGGGGCTGCGGCGGGATCTGCGTCGGCCTTACCAGCGCCAGCATCGCCAGGGGCCCGAACTCCGCGCCGGGGGGGTACTGCGGGTAGGCCGGCGGCGGGCCGCCGCCCATGCCGCCGCGATCGTCCGCCTCCCCGCCGCCGGGGGGCGCCGCCTGCATTCCTGGCCCCCGCTTCCCACGACCGAAAACCTCCGACGGTCCTCAGCCAGGCGCCTCCGTGTCCCGGCGGCCGGTCGGCGTTCGACCCTGTCGCGTCGCGCAGTCGAGGCGCGAGAAGCCGTCGCCGGAGCGCGGTGGGTTGGCCAGCCCAGCCTTCGCCGGACGCCCTGCTCGCGGACTTCGCCCACGGAAAGAGCGGAAAGCAAAACACGTCAGGCAGCCGTCGCTGGGGCGGAAACGTGTGGATTGTGTGCCGCCCGTTCGCTTTTCGAGAATCGGCGCGATCCACATCGCTTTCAGTGGCGCACGTCCGACGTGTTGCCGGGCGCCGGCAACTGGGACCGCGATTTGGCCGGCGGCCGCTCCGCTGATCCGCACCGCCGGATGCTTTTGTCATAGGCAGGGATCCTTTTCCTAAAAGCGGCCGAGCCGGTCGCTCTCTAGCAGTGCTATTTAGTAACGATTCTGTGGGCCGCTTTTGTCTCTGCGCAGGATCCTGTCCTGCAAATCTCGAGCCCCTGACGTTAGTAATGATCAAAACTCGCCGCTCGTTGGCGACCTGTTTGAAATCGGGATGGAGGGCGGCAGCATGCCAGGGTCGCGGCTCGGCCACAAAGAAGCCGCAGATAGACTCCGCAGCCACTGGACCATGCCGACTTAACGAATTCGCATTTGAAGAGTCTGGCCCCATGCCAGTGGGGCCCAAGGAAAATGGGGTTCCTCGCTTTTAGCTAATGGACAAATCGACCGATTGCAGGGTCCAATATATATCATGCGTAATTGACACTGTTAGTGGACCTAAAACCACCTGTTCGAATCACCGGTAATTGAACACTATACTGGCTCCATCAACTACTGATCTGTAATACGATGATTGAAACCAAATGATGGCATCCAAGAATCACATTTCAGGGAATGCCATCAACAACACAGTTGAATACAGTTGAATAATGGCTGCCACTCTTTCTCGATGTTGCGCATGCCAACATCCAGATTATCACTTGTTCGGGTCGCCAATAAATGGGGCTCCACCAAACTTTGCACACTGGAGGTGGGTGGCTAAACACTTATGTGCTGTGAAACTCAATAAGAAAAGTGAAATACAGAATTGGGAGCAAGATGTTGAAGGACGTCCCTTGTGATCGCCATTTCCTAGCCGATGGATTACAGGCCTTTTGAAACAAACTTCTTACACTTTCGTTCCTCACAATATCAACACGGTGACATAGCCTTTGTGACGTGGTTACTTGGGGTTAGGCAGTTATTGGCATTTTCTCGAGTGGCGATTACATAATCTGGGAAATTTAGATTAAATTATGTAATCTGTGTTATTTAGAACTTCCTAGTTCCAACGAGCTTTAAATGCCCGATTCCGTTAAGAGACGGCGAAGATATGGCCTCCTGAAATCATAGTACTTAGGGCCAGGGGGTCGGGTGTTAGATGCTTGGAATTAAAGGACATTAGGTCAATCGTAAGTGAACGGTGGACGGTGACAATGTGCCTGGACGCGCACTTGACTTGTCTTGATGTGACTGCGATGGATCCGTGATCGGGCATCGCGCATGCAATATGTGCGCGCGCATGCAGTGAATCCGTGTAACATCCTTTGGCCCACTCTCTGGCCTCCCGTGAGCCAGCGAACCACCACCGCGCTGCGCCGCCACCTCTCGCCAACAACAGGCCCCGGGGATCGATCCCCGTCGAGCATTGAGCCCACCGCGCGACCGCCGATTCGACTGCCCTGGAAAAGCCCACCGTCCAAGGTGGAGAGGCCAGCCGACCTCCTACGACTGTGCTGCAGGGCAGGGCGACCCCAGAGCCTCCGGAAACCAGCGGCTGCCAACGGGCCGCAACAAATTGGTTTCGAAGCGCGAAGCCCGGAGCCGGGAGCTGAGCGAGAGGCGCAGCCAACCAAGAGTTACCACGCGGCCTGAGGGTTGTGGATTCTAGAAACCTCCAACACCCCAGGCAGTGGTCAGCACCTCCGCGAGTGCTGAATCGCAGTGCTGCGTGCCTGAGGGAGTTCGTTTTTTGAGTCTAAGGAGCTTTCCATTGGGTGATTGGTGTTCAGGGATCGACGGGGCTGGGCAATCGCCAGATCTGCGAATTCGACAACGGATTCAGTGCATGCGCCAGGCGCCCATCGTGTAGCCGAACATGCGAAGGCCAACACCCCTCAGTTGGAAGGTTCCGTCAACCTCAGGTGCCACCCGCTGTAGAATAGGGGTGAAGGTCCCGCTCTAGAAGTAGGGGACATCTGCTGCTTCACCTTATTTTGCAGGTATTGTAGGCGGGTCACCACCAGACCGCTTTGCACCAAGATTGGGGACTTGATTTAGGGAAGGGGGAGGAGATCGAGCAATAGGCAGGCCCACTTGGGTCTAGAGTGCTACCTCCTGGAGGAGGCATCTCCCCTGGAACCGGTCAGAGGGTGAGGCCATTGCCCACCTGAGGTAGACAGGCCAGCCAACCCTTCTGAACCTTGGGTGGTTGAGTTTTAACACATTAGACAGGCTGGGGGTGCCATAGGCCAACACAGACCTCTTACAACAGTCTCGTCCCAGGCAACGGACACCATCTTAGGTTGTTCGGCTAATGCTGGGACTAAGTTTTCATTAGTAGCCACAAACGCACCCTCTGGAAAGTTACCAGGTGGACCGAGAGGTCACTCTGCAGAGTACTGGGGGTAACTGTGTGTGACAGTGATTATTGAAAACCAGTAGAAGTAGGATAACTTAAGTTGGGAGGTAAAGGCTGCTTGGCTACTTGGGGATAGTATTCAGTGGACTTTCAGTAGCCCGAGATCAGGTCTACGCCGATTGACTTTGTTTCAGTACAGTTTATCATTGGATCAGCATCGTGAGTGGGATCATGGCAGATCGTGATATGATGGAGCTGCAGGGCCATGATGGTGTGGAGGAAATTGACGGGACAGTGGAGACAGTCACTGGAGCTGGGCATGTGGGAGTTATTGTTGCATCATACGAGGTGTGGCAACAGAGGATTTTGATTGCCGGGACAGAGCCGGGGGCAGTGGTTTTGGGAAACCCAGAGGGTGCCCTGGTCTCTAGAACCGAAGCTACATAGGGGATGCAGAATCTGGAGCAACGAGCTACACAGGCGATAGCAGGGACTGCCGCCCAGACAACACATGCCATGAATGTGCTGGCTGATCAGACGGCATCAGCAGTGCAGCAGACTGCCCAGACATCTCATAGAGGTGGCCACCCGGATCCGCTAATAGCGGACGAGGGCGCCCTCCGTTAAATATCCGTTAATTTAGCGGACCCCGCTCTCTCTATTGCTGACGTGGCACGGATGGCAGCGGACGGTAGGCGCCAATCAGCGGACTCTGCGGATTCCGCCTGGGCGTTAACGGATATTCTCCAACGGACCGGAGGCCGCCTACCCCATCCGCTAATCTAGCGGATGACAGCGGACGTGTGTACCGAATCAGCGGATGACAGCAGAGCCCATGCAGTAAGTACTGATTTCGGAATCTGCGGATTAGGTTGATTGCCAGCGTGGCTCAGCCAGGGTCCACATACAGTGGACCTTGGCGGTGACTGCGCACATAATTGGTTGCCCTCCTGTTGCCCTCCGCCGTTGTCCTCCGCCACTGCCCCTGCTGCCCCACGAGCCACCATGGACCCAGCACCTACTCCGTCAGCAGGTGAGGCATACCGCACGCACGGGCAGCATAGCCAGAAGCCTGAGGAATGCCCTAAGTACCGCCAACCTGGCGGGAAATGCCGGGCCGCGCGGGGTAAGGGGGGTCTCGGATGATCTGTTGGCCGAAAACCTGTGTGTGGCCGGATGCAATCCACCAGTGATGCACAGGCATAGCGCGCTATCCTGCTTTCTAACCAGGGCAACGCCCTCAGTACCGCCTGCTTTGGCGGGGATCCTCAGATATCTGTTAGGCGAGCATGCATGGCGGATGCAATCCGCCCGGTGATACTGCGAGCATAGCGCTATCGCTGCAGCCGAAGACGGCACCCACCGATACCGCCTGCTTTGGCGGGAAATTCCGGGCCGTGGGGGGTGTTGGGGGGTGTTTGGGGGGGCCTCGGATGATCTGTTGGCCGAAAACCTGTGCGTGGCCAGATGCAATCTGCCGGTGATGCACAGGCATAGCGTGCTATCCTGCTTTCTGGCCAGGGCAACGCCCTCAGTACCGCCTGCTTTGGCGGGAAATTCCGGGCCGTGGGAGGTGTTGAAAGGGGCGGGGGGGTCTCAGATTATCTGTGGACTTTGAAAACCTGGATGTTGGCGGATGCATTCCGGCGAGTGATGCGTGGGCATAGTGTGGGCTTCTGCTTCTGGCCGCCTGCTTTACTGGGAAATTCTTCCCCCGGGGGGGCGGATTATGTGTGGACTTTGGAAACCTGGTGGCACATGGCCGGGTGGGAAGATCATGGCCGGGGTTTGACTTTATTCCGGGATTTTGCCTGCGACCCTCACCAACTGTGTTGCAGGTGGTACCAACGCTGAAACGGAAAGCAGGAAGGGGTGCCTTTGACAGGCGGGACGTGTAGGTGCGGTGGACGTGTACCATAAGGGAGTCCATAAGGGAGTTGCCTGAGCGATGTGAGGGGGACGAGTATATTACCATATCGGATGTCCTCTATAATATTTTGAAGTTGCTGTACGACCGGCTGTATGTCAGTGACACCGATGCACATGCAAAACCTGTGTTGCTTGAATTCACCTCTGAGTTCACAAGAAAACTGTGTGCGGATTGTGATAATATCAACCTAATATACAACTGGGCACTAGCGGCGGCTGTGGACGGAAGGAGGAATACATTGCACTGGATGAGGAGGATCTGGAACAACGCTGACGATTGGCCAAATTTGGTGGAAGAATATGACACCCTAGCAAAGTTCCAAGCGATGTTGAAGAAAGAGATGACGGCATTGGTGAGTTCAGTTCTGATTTGTGGCCTTTGCCTTTGTAAATGTGTGCATCCAACCGTGGATAGTTTTGGCCGGTACCA